GCTCGGTCTGATGTAGGCTTTGAATCTGAAAACTCGGGAATTAGGAGGAAGGAGTCTGAAGGTCCTTTCTTGGAAAGGTCACAAGAAATGACTGCAGTTGGGACACAGTGTTGAGCTATAAGAGTGTGACCGCTTTCCCCTCCCTCCTCCTCCCCTTTTATTTAAAAAGCAAGCGAACAAAAACAAACAAACAAACAAACCTCTTGCCTTCAGGCTTTTTTTCTGTTACGGTGGTCTTCCCTACTTCTATTTCCATTTCCGATTGCCTACATGGCTTTCTTTTTGGAAATAGCGCTCAGTATCTGTGACTGACAGGCTGGATTTAAAAAAAAAATCTTTCTGCCTCTTTACCTTCCTTCGTTTATTTTCTGGGATCATTTCCCTTCCTGCCCGTCTAAATCCATATTCTTTTTTTTCTTCATTGATTGTGTTGTCTTTCTGTCTTCCCTGTTCTATCCTCTTTAGTTTTACTCTGTATTTCAGTTCCTCATTTTCCCTCCTTTCCCAGCCTTGTGAAGTGCTGTCATGGTATCAGGTTGGGACTGCAAGGAAAATTGCCAAAATTTCCACAGAAGGAAATACTGCTTCTACAATAAAGGCAGCCCCTGCTTCCTTCCCTCACCTACTGCTGCCAAAATGTTTCAGATTCACAAGGTAGCTCCTCAATGAGACTGGAAGAAGGAGAGATTCCCCTGAATTTTTAGTGCAGTCACCCAGGTTATCCGCTTCTGAGGCCAGCCCCAATCCCTAAAATGCAAACTTTTCGTAGCAAAATAATGTTCTCATTATAAAGAACAATGTGACAGTGGTGTGTCAGGTACTTTTGCCACAGCACTAAATCACCAAAAATCAGATGGATATTAACGTACTGTTTTTCAGAGTTAAAAATAACCGATTACTGATGAGCTAATGTGTGTATCTTGCAACTGGCAGCCATTTCTAATCCCATATTACTGATTTCCTTGGTACCTTGCTAGCAGCTGTAGATAATTTTTTTTGTAAACATAAACTATCATCTAAATCAGGACATTATATATATATATTTAATTAGTTCAGAAGCAAAGTGCTTTAAACCTTACGATTTTTACTTCTGCCCTGTAGAAACGGCACTAGGTCTAAATGCTCAGATTTTTGCTTTTTGATACATCCTGCAGCATTAGCTTTGTAGGCAACTCATCATTTAAACCTACTGCAATACGTAAAGGCTGCCATACTGTAGGTGTAAATTTGAATGTTAGCCATCACTTAAACATGCATTTTCATGCAACTAGGAGATATGGGCTCATTCAACTGCTTCTCAGATTCATCCTGATTTTTGTGATTTTATCTTATTAAAAAGGCTTTCAAAACAGTTCATGCTGTGATATGTATGACTAGAGGAATGACCCAGCCAATGAAGAAAGCCCACAAGCTGTTATTTAAGTTTGACGTGGAGCAGATTGAGTGCTTCTGTACCGTCCCCGGGCTTGCAGATGCTTTGAGATGATCTTGATATTCCAGTCCTTAGAGAGTCAGCAGAGAGAGTTGTTTCCACTAACGGGTGCGAGATGGCTTCAGTAGTCTCTGTTCCTGCTTCTGTCTCCAACTCTTCATCAGTTATAAATAATTTTGACTCCCTCCATTTGGAGTATACATCTTGGCTACCTCTGGAACCACTGGAGTCACTGCCAGCAATCTGTACATTCAGTTCTTCTGTTGATTGTATAAGGTTTTGTACAGATAAAGATTTTCCTAAATCCATTTGCACCACAGGTTTCACTGAGAGCAAAGGTTCCCCTTCTGTATCCAGACTTTTTCTCCATGCGAGATCCTTTGTCGCACTGGGCTGCGCAACTTGTCCATTATCTTTTGATGCAACAAGGCAAGCGGTGACATCGGAAATATTTTCCTGTGTGGTTACAGGAATAATATGAACGGGCTCAGGCCTATGCTTCATTGATGAGAAAGGTGGTATTTGTAATGTTGTTGGAGTTGCTGGCTTAGTTGCCTGGTTTATTTGGTTTGATGTGTTATTAACTGTTGCAGGTCCATCGTTTGGCACTTGCGTTGCTTGACTATGCATAGCTGGACTAAAAGCATAGTAAGCCTGAGTGCTAAATTCATTTGGTGTCAGTATAAGTTGTAGGCCACGAGGCAGATTGGCACTAGCTGATCTGGATACACATCCACTAATTTGTGCAGAACTAGACAAATCTTTGCTGTCTGATGGACTCTGGTAATCAGAAGTCTGCTCACACTCAAAAGCTGGCATTTGAAAGGAAGCCAAAGTGAGCGCGGATGCAGATCCTTTTCGCAAAACTTGTTGATAAATATCTAATAGACAGTCCAGTTTTGACTCAATGGATTGTACCTACAGGAGGAGAGGAAAAGGTTAACGTTAATGCCAAATACTAATTTAAAATATTTGGAACCCAAGCAAAGGGAAAATGTGACTGCTGAAGAGAAAAATGGGAGGAGCTTGGTACACGCTATTGACTCGTGAAAAATAAGGTTGTCAAAAGCCATGTGATTTTTCATAAGCAAGCTGATAAAAGGGAAAAAAAGTCAGTAACCTGCGATTTTTCCTTCCTTCCTTTTCTTTACATGGAAGACAGTTAAGCTAATACGATTCCTATCAATTTTATTTCAACATGTAAATGAAGCAGATATTAGGAAAAAAAATATTTTACCTGTTCAGCCTTTGAAACTGGCAGTAAAATACACAAAAGGCATGAGCAATAGAGCAAGACAAAGTGACACAGATAATCACTCTACCTGTTTCTCCACCTTGACTACACGCCCTAACATACTGAGGTCATCAGTTGTCTCATTCTCTGCAGGATTCTTTTCTCTACTTCTTTTATCTGCTGTGATTTGTCCTTTCCCAAGAATTTGGTCAACGCTGCAAGAGAAATCAAAAGCTGCTGTGACTCCTGAAAATGGTGATGATATGGAAGTGCTTGCTAATCTGTACATTAAAAATTAAGATCATAGGACTTCAGAAAAGCATCCGACAAAGTTGTTAACCTAATTTTATTCAAAAATGAAGAAAAAAACATGAATGCTTTTTGAGCATTTGGAGATCAGCTCAGAGACTGCTTTTCTTTTCCATTGGCACTAAACGGGAGCCAGAACTTAGCCACTCTGGGAGAGCCAGGGCTAGACTTGCTGAGAGGGCGAGAGGAGGCGGCCTTTCCAGCAGCCTGACGTTGGGGGGGTAACAGACGTACCGGTGCCACCCCCAGCTCTCCCGTCCTAACAGCAGCATCCAGTCCTGGGAAAGCTGTCAGTTTGAAGCAGGAATCTCTGCCCTGATGCTGGTAATGATACACATGATGCAATGTTGTTGTTTTTTTTTATTAACGTTATTATTGCTGGGAGTCTAGAACATAAAAACTCCATAAATACTACATTACCAGTAGTTCCCAATTTCTTTTATGTGAAAAGAGAAAGTCTGGGATGGGAGAAAGGCAATTCTCAATGTCGGCCTCATCCTTTTGGCAACCTCATGATTAAAGTCCTTGTTTATGAATGAACTTTACAGATAAAAGACTACGTTTTCTATTGTTCAGATTTCAATTTTCTGGGAACAATTTAGATACATGGTTTTTTGTTTGTTTTTACCCACAATGTAATTTCTGGCTCAGCTGTGTTCACAGAAAGAGAGGCTGGGCTGAACATGGATGGCAATTTGTACCCAAATATAACACAGGAATATTAAACGTTACCAATATTCATTATGCAGTGAATGACATGACATAAGATGCTTATGCAGAGCAGAAATTATTCTTTCCTTACCGTGACTGAAGACTCTTAATCCTGCATAGCATGTCTAGATGACCTGCTGAATACTGTTCAATGACATCTTTGACATCATATGGACGAAGTGTTTCCTTAAACTTTCTCTTTGCAACATGAAATTTCATAATTCTGTGGGGAAAAAGCATTTCACAGATTAATCTTCAACAGTTGTGAAACAATACAATATATTCCACTGACAAAATTTGACAGCTAATTTTTAAATGGAAGATATTTTCAATACAGCTTTTCCCTTTACAAAATTGTTTTTATAAGTACGAATGTGTAAGTACAAACGCATTGTAGCTATCCATTTGAATTGTTATTTAAAGAGATCAGGTAGCACTATTTTAAAGAGTGCAGAGCACGTTTAATTTATCAGTATACACCTATTCGGCTTTTTTATACTAGGTGCCTGATATGAAAGGTACTGAAGTACATGCTTAACTTAAACCTGGGATTAGTCCCACTGGCTTGAGTGAGATAACCTGTAAGCTACGTTTGTGCTTAAGCTACTTCTGTCCTTGTTAGACGGAAGATTCCTCTAACAAATTTGTTACAGAAACATAAATAATAGTACTCTTTTTCTGGTGGTCATTTTAAGTTCTTTCCATTTTGTAAAAAAATTAAATTTATGCACCCAATTAAGTTTTCATCAATTTTAATTTTTAATTAACATTCAGGCTTAAGTATTTGTTTTTAATTTATTTTGCTGACTTAAGATCAAACTTTGTAGGCTAAAGAGAAGTTTTCATGTTTGTTCCATATTGAAATCTATGGGAGTTATTGTTTAATTAGCATTGGTGACTTTTTTCCTTGAATTTTACTGCAGAACAGTAAATATCAGATAACAGTAAATATGCAAAATTGATGAATGGCATATGTTTTTTATGTGAGACTTGCACAAGTTTCTGTGACGCTTATGTGAATATGTGATGTCTGCTGAGTAGGTCTTCTTAGAATGAAAAGCTTGATGTTAAATTGCAAATTTTAAATAATAGAAATGTCAAATTTGGAAAGTAAATGACAGTGAGCTGATTTTCCACGTCAGCTGGTAAAACCTGCTGTTCTCCTTGGTCTACATGAGAACTGCGGAAGAGAGAACCGTGGGAGAGCTGGGAGAGAAGCCAAGGGATTGGGTGTGTTGGCCATTCTGGTCTGTGTTACAGAGCTTATAAATCCCGGTTAGGGCCAAACTACTGATATTTGCTATCTATTGCAATTTAAAAAGCAGAGACAGTAAATTGGTATCCTATTCCAAATCCCGATATTTCATGCTAATATATTCCTTCCGTATGCATTTAGCAGCTGTACGACAATGAATGATAATAAAAACCAAAACACGGCTCTCACTCTGTGATAAAAATAGATTAGTGGTGTTTTAGTGGAATTTAGGAAAACCATACTTTTTATAGTTAGGACAGACATTATGATAATAGGTATGTAGAGTCAGATTAATTATATATAGTGATCCTCTACTGTTTTCTGTATTATAGAATCATAGAATCATAGAATCATAGAATCATTAAGGTTGGAAGAGACCTCTAAGATCATTGAGTCCAACCGTCGACCCAACACCACCATGCCCACTAAACCATGTCCCTAAGTGCCTCATCTACCCGTCTTTTAAATACTTCCAGGGATGGTGACTCAACCACTTCCCTGGGCAGCCTGGTCCAAGGTTTAACCACTCTTTCAGTAAAGAAATTTTT